TGATTGAGGGCAGTGAGCTGAAGGTAAATATACCAAATTGTATTACATTAAAGTTGCCATGGGTAATTAATAATATTCAAAAATAACAATTAATTATTGCTTTATATTAATTAATGCAGTGTTTTTAATATTCCATGTTTAAGAGTTAAAAACAATCTCATTTATAACAGAATGAAGTTCAACGCCGAATACACGAGTCAAGTAGCACCTGTGTTTGCCTTGATTTAATGTCTCGCTGATGTCTTCGGCATTGTTCTCTTCAACATGGGCCAACTTTGCCCTGCGGGCCCTAATTTGGGCATCTCTGTTTTAACGTGACTGCGTAAACAAAAATAATTGTTTTAGGTTATATCTATATATTAAAACATATTATCAGAGCTTAAATGTTAATTTGTTTAATTTAAATCAGGGGTGCCCAAATTTTTCCTATGAAAGGCCAAAAATTAAACTTGATTGAGGGCAGTGAGGCGAAGATATGTATATCCAACTCTATTACAAAGTTGCCATAATTCATTACTATTATTTCAAAATAAATAGAAAACATTACTTTAATCATTAACCAATGCATAATATATCATTTTATATTTTATAATGGCCCTATTATGATGAAAATATAATTCTATTTATAACACAATGGAGTTTATTGCCGAATACACTAGTCAAGCTGCCTTTGCTTTGATTTACTCAATGAGGACTTCTGAATTGGGGTCTATATGTTGAACAATGGGATGTTCATAAAAAAAAATTTAAAAAATGGATTCATTTAGAACATTAAATAAAACACCTGCTTTTTTTCGTAGCTTAACACCAAAATAAACCAGTGAAAGGTTACATTAAAGAAATGACAATGTGTATTAAAAAGCTTTAACCCCAACTCTTCCCAAAATTCTCTCGCGCTTCTCAGATGGTATAGTGGGCCAAATCAGGGTTACCATGGGCCAACTTTGGCCCCCTGGGCCTAGTTTGGGCATCTCTGATTTAAATGATAATTGTTAAGCTCAGCATGATTTTTATATTTCAGTATTTTGAGCTGATTTATATCCAATGCGAAATTGTTGAAGTTTTATTATCAGACATGCATATAAGATCATTTTTAACTGACTCCCGGTACTGTTTCAAAAGATCTTTAGACAGAAAGTAAAGCTATCACTAGGGTGGTTTTCAATAGTACAAAACCTAAAAGTTCCACCTTATATAGCCCTTAATAAGACTTGTGTAGTACCTTTTTATAAAAAAATTGCAGTTAACAGTGACACGGTGGCACAGTGGATAGCACAATCGTCTCTCAGTGAGAATGTCGCTGGTTCGAGTACCGGCTGAGTCAGTTGGCATTTCTGAGTTTGCATGTTCTCCTTGTGTTGGCGTGGGTTTCCTCCAGGTGCTCCGGTCTCCCCCACAGTCCAAAGACATGCGCTATAAGTGAATTGGGTAGGCTAAATTGTCCCTATGTGTGTGAATATGTGTGTATGGATGTTTCCCAGTGATGAGTTGCAGCTGGATGGACATCCCCTGCGTAAAACATATGCTGGATAAGTTGGCGGTTCATTTCGCTGTGGCTACCCCAGATTAATAAAGGGACTAAGCCGAAAAGAAAATGAATGAATATTGCTGTTATGCAGTTTTATGCTATAATTAGCATTTACTTCAATAATTTTAAAACACTCACACACACAAAAAACTTTTTGATTTAGTTTGTTTTCCTCAGACACTTTAGTCAGTGTTTCTTTAATATAGTATAATCTAGCAGTTGCTGTCTAATAAGTAAATGCATACACCCTATCCTTTTTCACGCTGATCATTTTCTTTGTGTCTTGTGGAGAAGGAAAAAGTAGGTTAAAGTTCAAAAGGACGCTCATAGTTTCCTCCTATTTAAAGAAGAGAGCGGCAACTTCCAGATATTTTCATATAAAGTCAGTCTAGAAACCTGTCTCTATGGTCATTGTATTAAACAGTTTGAAAATGTATTTACATCTACAACTTACTTTGCAAGCAAACTCGACAAATAAGCACAAGATGAAGTGGCAGATAAAATGACGCGGGAATGCTGCGGGAAATGCTCTTTGAAGTCCAATACAATGGTGCACATACAACACACTGTGGAGAATAGTGGGGGTTGAGGGAACTGAGGTCAGAGGTCAACAAAGCCTTCTGCCTCTCACTGACCATAGGATTTATTCCCATAAAGCTAAACGACAGCATCCAACACTCATAACTATATTTAGGAAGCTTTTTTAATGACGTGTAGGCTAATGTCGTGAGATTTGCATTTGCAAGATTCCCACTGGTTTTGATAAGCAGTTATTTTTACAGCCAAGGCACATTTTTAGAGGGATTTTGAGCGGACCTTCCTTCACCCCCACCCCCAACAAGAAAAAAAGGGATGCTCTAAAATTACATGCATGACATAACATTTTGTTGTCTATCTGGAGTAGTGGTGATATGGGTTGAACATGAAACATCTGCGCTGTAAGGTATTGAAACCTTCAAGATAAAACTTCACGATCAGGTATGTGGACTATTTCACTTTATACAGCAGCTGTAAATGATGTCTGTGCACTATCCAACGACAAAATGTCTAGTGTTTTAAATGTGTTCACCTTAAATTTACATTTCAAGAAAAACATTGCTCCAAAATAGGGAAATGTGCTACTTAGAAGTGTTGTATTCGCCTCTATTTGCTTGTAAGTTAAGTTTAAAGTGCTAGTTCACACTAAACTAAATAATCTATCATCATTTAATCTCACTTGTTCCAACCCTGTTTGACGTTCTTGTGTTAAACAGAAAATAGATTTTGAAGAAAGCTGGAAACACAACAATAGTATTTGTTTTTCCTGGAAGTTTTCAGCTTTCTTGAAAATATCTTTTGTGGTCAACACAATAAAGAAACATATAAAGGTTTGGAAACACCTGAGGGTAAACAACATGACTAGCAAGTAGCTACATTTAGTTTTTTTTGGCTGAACTATGCCTTTAAGTAAATACAAGCCTCGTCAAGGGAGTGTTAACAGGCAATAAACACTATTCCTTGAAACAGTGTAATTGTTTATAATTCCTTTAGGCAACTGATGGTAAAGTGGTAAATGTGATATAGGAGAGCGGATATGAGTTGTGGGGGGATTGAGTGAGTTGTGTGAGGGAGGAGGAGGAGGCTCGAGGCCCATCATCACATGACGAGACGTTCGCGCCTCTTTCGTAAACCTTCTCCAACCTGATGATCCCAAACAACTCGGAGGTTACGCGCTAGTTTAATTTCCACCGAGGCCTGAAACGCGTCCGAAAGCTACAGCTGCTTGGCGCCGTGACCAGAGATCAGCCTTGGGTCTGTGCTGTGGCGAGTAGTGATTGGAAACTTTTAATTTTGACAGTGTTTGTCGGTAGGACAGGCTTTTGTGTGTGTGTGTGTGTGTGTCTGTGTGTGGGGAGCAGCTGGGGAGCTAACAGACAATGTAGGAGAGATGGATCAATCAATGGACTCCTGAGCGCTTAGATATTATATTTGTAGGTGATTGGTTGCCTTAAGTAAGTATGCATGTAAGTGTAAAGCGTTTAAAATGGCATAATTAATACTAGCAATTTATTGCGAGTTTATCTGGGATGTGTTTAATCTGTGTGATTTTGTCAAGTGTTCCGGTTGTTTTGGAAAGGAAATGAAACAATTAAGGCTGTCTTTACACGATTTGCTGATTAATATTTAACCTGTGTTACTAGTTTGCGCTAGGGCAAGTTAATGCACTAAAGTTACCTTTTTGGGTAAATCTGGACCATGTTATAAAACGTCTCTAAAGCTTAATAATTATAGAAATTACAAATATGCGAGTTTAAAGCTTAAAACGTTATACACGTTGAATTTCGAGATTTAGTGCTGATTATGTTTTAAACTCATATATACTCGTAGCATTAGTGAATTTCACGTGGCTCTTTGCTACAGAAAGGGGCAATCTATCTAAATCTAAACTCAAGTGAGAAACTATAGATGAATACAACATTACTTGTGAAGCTGAGTGTTCTGGGAAAAGCTACTTGCACCGTCGTTTAACCTCTTAATTTTCCTTCACACTTAACCCAGTTTTGTTGTTTTTGTCTGCGTTTATAGATACTAGGAGTTCGTTTCCTGTTGAAAACACCCACTCTTGTGTAAACACAAGCTTTTCAGCTGCTTTGCTTAAATTGTAGCGTAATAACCATGTTATATCATTAAAGGGTTCGGCGTTGATTAAACATCAGCTTCCGAAAGGAGAGCTCGTGGGCCACACAAGCAGAAGATCGGGCACCGACCTCAAGGCCTAGTTAATGTTTGCGGATTCGACCTCACAGTCAGACGAATATTCAACTGTTGCTTTTCCCCTCTGTCCTGGACCCCTGTGATTCAATAGAGCGCGAAATTAAGTATATTTGTTGGCTATAAACGCATAAATGCTATTAGAAATCAAACAACGCAGCGTGAAGAAATCAACATTTAAAGGAGCTTAAGTAATGAGTGGGCCATTCCTAGAGTTTGTGTTGGATTTAATTGGACTAATTAGCATATAAAAGAGTAGTGAGGGTCTTCCTACTAGTTGTGCTTGCCTTCAGTTGAAGATCCTCCATTTTGAGAGACCCTGTGAAACACGAGCAAAGCGCGCCAATCACCAGAAACTGACGTTCAGCCAGACTCAAAACTATGGAGAATTTGACTAAAGTTTTGAATCGTAAACTTATTCGAGTGTTTCAACCTGCAGTATTTTTATGTTATTTTTTGTTTACATATTATTATCTATTTAGTTCAATTTCAGAACAAAAACGTGTTAAATATGAACACTTAATAGTGATTTGTAATAGGGCATACGTTTTGTAAACTTAATTAATGGATTCTTTATGTTAGTGATTTTTTTTAGCCATGCAAGCATGTTATAAGGTTGTTAATCTTTTTTTTTCCCTTTTCCCCCCTCTAGGTGCAGTGATGACTAATGAAGCATTTTCATTGTGTTCAAGAAAAACACACATTGCTTTATTATAATATGGCCTTCCTGCTAAGGTGCATCTTGTGTAGTTAGTGAAGTAGTCTAGTATCTACTGCGCTAGATGTTCCTTTTGGCAGGAGTAGCTGTATATTCAGCACACGGAAGCAAACATACTATCATCAAGTTCTATAACATGCAGTTCTTGTTTTATCAATTATTATTGTTTTGTTTTAATTATTCTTTCTTTTATGATCTGTGTTGAGTTTGTCCTGGCAGTTCCAAAGTGCTCACAGTGCAGGTAGTGCCAGTGGATCTACTGCAATGTCTGCACTTCAAGTATTGCCGGACGCCTTCTGCCTGCCACTGTGGAGCTGCACTAGATGCTGCTTATGGAAAAGCCCTGTTATCTGGGGTGAGTTTTGCAGGATTGCATCCGGCTTTATTACAACATGCTGTGCAAATCCATGCAAAACTCGCTGCGCCAGGGACAAACCACTTCTACAATCAAGATTATATTTCTAGTCATGCGAATGCAAAAAGTTTAATGCAAAACTCTTTTGGAAATAAAGTCTGTATGATATGCCATAATTCTATGACACTAGTATAGTAAGAAAATAAGATGCTGAGTTTTCTGTGTAGTAGTCCTAAGTGACAATTGCTTGTAATAATGCTACTTCTCAAAAATATATTTAAAATGTTTTTGCATGATTTAAAAAATATATTTAAATGCAAATATTTGTCTTGCTGTTTTCGGGTGGATGACTCTGCAATTTTATTAGTGATGGAAAAACTTCAATAAAAATTGCACGGTATCCATCTGTAATCCGCTGGATTCCATTACCTGCGTTTGTTCCTTTTGTATATCAATGTATGCTTCAAACTGTTTAATAAAATTATTAAGTTATTTGACTCTCCTTTGCATCTCCCTGGTTGAAATTGATTTCAGATATTTTTAACGAGTACACCTAGCAATGACATTCACCAACACCAGATGGCAGCATATCACAAAAAATCACAAATGTGTTTGTTTGCACTGCATATTCAAATTAATTGTCAAATATAAATTTGTTAGCCACCCGTAATGCAGACATAGTCAGAATATCCAGTCACCAGCCGGTAAAACTATCAAGTGTAACTTTTTAGCCGATTAAATTAGCTCGACACCTGATTTAAGTCCAGGTCGGGGCGGAAAAGTCCATATAAATGGAGTATTTTAGACTTGGTCTTGGCGTCTCTAGTGTGCGCATGACCGCGGCAGGGCACGGGCTTCATAACGCGCCTCCTGTCGTCATAATCATAACTTTACCGTCAGAACAAGAGTTCAATATACCGACCACTTCTGTAATCGGTAAGATCTGAATGACGCTGAAATCGTGTAAATCTCGCTGTCACTCATGCCTCAGGGAAGCGTGACCTTGATTTGTGAGCATGAAGTTTGTGTTTGTTAATGAGGTAGAGATGAAGAGCTCCACAGGACCCTCCTCACCCTCACTCCAGTGATGCCGCCGCTCAGTCCAGTACATCGCTTACTGCTCACTTCAAGCAACGCACACCGAGCCCGCTTTCTTCCTTTGTAAACAAACCTGTCATCTGGAAGCCTTATTTTCCGCCAAATATCTCTTGTTTTCAGCACATTTGGATTCATGATGCCTGGACTGAAGTTGTACGGTGCGCTGATTTTGTGTGTCCTGGTGCTGCCGTTCTCCCGTCCGAGCAGTCAGGTGCTGGACTGTCGCGAAGTGCGCTCGTCCTTTCAGTTTTTGTACCCGGGGATGAAATGGACCCCAGAAACCCCAGTTTCAGGTAAAACTACATATTCAGATCCTCAAGATATGCTTATTCATATTTTGTGTGGTTTGTTAAGCTTTCTAAAGCATCGCGTCCAAAAGTTTTACCTGTCATCCAGTAAACCTTGGGACTGTTGTCATAAATGTTGTCACGTTTTGTTTCATGTTTGTAATAGTTCATGAATACTGAATGAAAACATAGTTTTAATTAAATTGGACACCTTTCTAGGGGTATAAACCTGGCTATTGATATATGTTTAGTTGCGCAACCTCAGTTTTTGAGAATGTACTTTGAGTTATTTAGATCTGACATTAAACATAAAAAACACATAAATAAAGGAATTCAGCATATATCAAACTACAAACGATGTCACCATTAGATGAAATTCGTACGGCAGGCCATTTTAGCATTTAATTTAGTAATAATTATTAGTAAACAATCTTTATATCCTGCTACTTAAATATAGCCTACCTGAGTTTTTTACACTAGAATCAACAGTGTACTATTCTTATCGTATTTATTGCAACAGCATATTCCAGCTTCACTATGCTTGGACAATACAGTTGAAGACAGAATTATGAGCCCCCCGTTGATTTTTTTCCTCAATTTCGGTTTAACAGAAAATATTTTTCAACACATTTCCAAACATAATAGTTTTAATAACTCATTTCTAATCACTGATTTATTTTATCTTTGCCATGATTACAGCATATAATATTTTACTATATATTTTTAAGACACTTCTTTACAGCTTAAAGTGACATTTAAAGGCTTAACTAGGTTAATTAGGTTAACTAATCAGGTTAGGGTAATTAGGCAAGTTATTGTATAACAATGGTTTGTTTTGTAGACTATCGAAAATAAATATTAAAGGGGCCAATAATTTTGACCTTAAAATACTTTTAAAAAATTAAAAACTGCTTTTATTCTAGCTCAAATAAAACAAATAAGACTGTCTCCAAAAGAAAGAAATATTATCAGACATACTGTGAACATTTCTTTGCTCTGTTAAACATTATTTGGGAAATACTTAAAAAAGGAAAGGGTGTTAATAATTCTGATTTCAACAGTATATGAGATACAATTGAAAATGAACAATGCAACTTTGTAAAGTTATGCTATAAACTGCTAAACTGTCAACATAACTGACTGCTCAGCTTCTGCATTCTACTTCACCCAGAGACAGCTCAAAGAAAGCAATACAGCAAAGTTAGATACGATGGAATTTCAATGTCTGTCAAGGCACTGATGTTTTGCATCACTGTCTTTGTGTCAGTACCTCAAAGAATGCACTGTATGCTGTTGAGTGTAAAGCTTTTAGATGTCAGGTATTGAACAGAGCTTTGTTTTATCCACTGTGCATTACAATGTATTTGCAAACAGATCATTTAGCCGTGTCTCAAATTGCACTCTTTGCTTATGACACCTGTGTGATCACAGCTGACATAAAATGAAGAATTAGGCTTCATACAACAAAGACTGTTCAGTCAAAAATACTACAGTTAGTTTAGGACATCCCTAACGTTAGAGGCTAAATGTTAAAATGACTTGCCATATAGAGATCTATTTATAACAATTGCATCTTCTGTACACATTTCATGTGGTATTATTTTCACCTTCCGTGTGATGTGCAGATCCATCAGTAGGTATGAAGATGAAATAAGTGTCTTGACTGGATTGTCATCTTCAGTTCTGAGCTGTGGCTGCAGAAAGAGCCAGAGGAGAGCTGTAAATGTATTTCTCTTACCCATAACTAGTGTGAATTACCTGTCATACTGGAGAAGGCGAATTGTGTTAGTGTGTTTATTGAGGTTGCTACATTTCCCAGCGGAGAGCTGAGGAGATAGATGAGTTGAGATGAATGACAGGATGGATGGCTGACTCTCTTCTTGACATCTTCCCTTAACTGCTTGAAGCTTTAATTCTGTCTCAACTGGAGTCTGGAGGGAAGGGGGGTGAAAACATGGAGTTTGTTTGGCCCTCACAACAAAAATTCTGCTGAAAAGGAGCTTGCTTTTCCCCAGTGACTGCATTTTGTTGTTTGGCTGCTTTATGTGCAAGTATCTTCATTTTTTCCCTTAGTGGCAGCAATTTCCCTTTAAAAAGAGATAGATTAAATCTTATATCACTATTCTAATCATTCCCTTAAGTTAATTGACATTCAAAACACTTTTAATTAAAATTGTTTTCGTAACTGAACATCTAATATATATTAAAATCATTTACTTTTATTACTTCATTGAAATATTTTGAACCGTGATAAATGAATGCTGGGGTCTTTCTAATTCCATGTGACTCAAATAGCAGGTAAATGAATGTTAAACCCTGAGTGATCCCTGCTTTCAGGAGATATAAAGTGACCTTCCCAGAGTTCCATTTAATCAGAGGTGCTGTTCGTTTTTGCAGACTTCCCATTTGCAATTTAAATGGATTGCAATTGGGTTAAGGACAAGGAACAGAGTGATATTCTCAGTCATTTGCCTTCTCAGAGGAATTTTTATACGTTTTAACCTTTATCGGAGTTTAAGAAAACGTTCTATTGGACTGCCAGAATGTGTTTCCAGTATCTGGTCTATTTTTAATTAAATATTATGAGGATTGCGTGCATGAGATATATCATTCGTGTATGTTGTGCATCTTTTTGCAGTGCTATGCAGTTTTCAGAATTTCTTCAAAAGCATTTTGGGTTGCTTGTGCTATTTATCTGTAGCTGGTAGGGGACTTCATTTCCTGATGGGTACAATCCTGCAATAAAAGTCTTTTTGAAGCTCTAGTTTTTTGAAACCTAAACATTGTTCTTCAGAGAAAGGACTAACTGAGTTTTTTTTTCTTTCAGAAGTGTGCCGCAGGCAGTGTAGAGTCCTGATAATCCCAGCGGCACTAGGCTCTGGACTTTATGCCTGGTGCAGTAATTAGTGGTGCGGCAAAGCCTTTGGCTTTATTCATTTTGATTCATTATATGAACCGATACCGCACAGGTCCAGCATATGTAGCTTGAAACCTTAATTGGCTGTCCTAGTATTATGTCAGACTATGAAAGTATGTGAGGTTAATTGTTTGCCTCCCTTATTTGGTATTGATTTATGTGTTGGCCAGAAGCACCTTAAGAGGCACACTTGCTGAGAAAAATGGCAAAACAGTTGTGTGAACCGCACATAATAACTTTCCCCTTTAAAGACTGAATGTCTTCAATAGAGATATTAGTCTAAACATTGTAATAATGGCATATTATAAAAAAATCTGATGAGAGTTTGAGGTGATTGTATTAAGCTTTATACAATCAAAATGAGCATTGTCAAAAGAGAGCTGTCCAATTTTCTTCAATCAGAGCACCTATGGTGCATAAAACTGGCTTTAAAGTGCACTGTAAAAAATAAAATTACCATTTGTTCAGCACACTGTACTTTTTCTGTAATATATACTAAGAATTGTGAATAAATATTGACCTAAAAATGATAAAAATAAAAATATGTTATGTCAACAATATTCGCTAAGTGAAGTTTATTTATAAACTAGTTTCGAGAGGATCACATGCTTATGATTGCTTGCAGCCGGTCCCGCATTATTCAATTCATGATTCACCAATCAGACGATTTCTAAGCCACCATAAAGTTCCATATAAATGCCATCTTCGTTTTGAAGAATCCCCCCTTCCACCCCTACTCCTCCTCCTTTCCTAGATGGGTGGCATGGTGGCCCAGTGGTTAGCACTGTTGCCTTACATCAAGAACATTACTGGTTCTAGTCCTTACCAAGCCAGGAGACATTACTGTGCGGAGTTTACACATTCTCCCCGTGCTCACATGGGTTTTCCGCGGGTTCGTCCTACTGGCCAAAAACATGCAACTTCAGTTAATTGACTAATCCAAATCAGCACCATAGACATGCGCCTAGTTAGTAGTTATCTCTTACGAGCAGTCACTATCTGTTCATTAGCCACTACAGCAGGGGAGTTCTCGATCTACCTGAGCTCAAACTCTCCTCTTGTCTTGCAAACAGGAGGGAGCCCCAGGCTCGAGGATGCCAAACAAGCTTTATAATAAATCATCAGCTAGGCGTGATCTCTTAAAAATGTTATGTCCATATGTTTAACAGAGTTTTCTGGACAAACATTTTTGTGTTAAATAGCAATGTTGATATTTAAATAATTCGCAAATGCGTTATGCGATGATCAAAAACTAAGTTTGTGTATCTGTTGCTTGTAAGAATGGTGACATAGTCCTTCTTATCTTCTTATCTGCTCTCACTTCTTCAGATCTATGTGCCCTCCAGAAACTTGCGTTCTGTGAATGAACGTCGCCTCGTGGTTCCATCCCAAAGAGGGAAGAAATCACTTTCCCGAACGCTGGCGTTCAATCTGCCCAGTTGGTGGAATGAACTCCCTAACTGCATCAGAACGGCAGAGTCACTCGCTGTTTTCAAGAAACGACTAAACACTCAACTATTTAGTCTCCACTTCACTTCCTAATCTGCAATTGCCTCTCTGGATATCACACTAACTGTACCCAAAAAAAAAAAAATTACTGATGCTTTCCTTCTTAGACTTTACAGACCTGAAACTTGCCTATAGCACTTATTCATTGTTGCTCTTATAGTTGTGTTAATTGCTTCCTTGTCCTCATTTGTAAGTCGCTTTGGATAAAAGCGTCTGCTAAATGACTAAATGTAAATGTAGTGGTGCAGTAGGTAGCACAGTCGCCTCACAGCAAGAAGGTCGCTGGTTCGAGCCCCGGCTGAGTCAGTTGGTGTCTCTGTGTTCACATGGGTTTCCTCCCGGTGCTCTGGTTTCCCCCACAGTCCAAAGACATGCGCTACAGGTGTCTGAGTGTCAATGGGTTTTTCCCAGTACTGGGTTGCAGCTGAAAGGGCATCCGCTGTGTAAAACTTATGCTGGATAAGTTGGCGGTTCATTCCGCTGTGGTGGCCCTTGATGAATAAAGAGACAAAGGAAAATTAATGAAGTAGTAAGTTTGTGGTTGTAGTTTTTAAGTAAAATGATTAAAACAGGATGATAA